TAAGCAGGAGCTCTCTGGTCTTTGCCATTGAGCTTTTGGGTGCCAAATTACAGGTGGTGCTCTGCAAGAGAACAAGTTATCTGGGGATTTGCTGAAGGTTTTAGTAGTTTAGTTGGTATCCAGTACTTAAATCTCACTTCTAATTTCTTCACTGGTGAGATTCCAACAACTTACGGATTTCTCAGGTCACTGTCTGTTCTCTCATTATCACGTAACAGGATATCAGGCATGATCCCTGCAGATCTTGGTAATTGCTCTGATCTCGAAGAACTTGAGCTTCGATCCAATTGCCTGACGGGTAACATTTCAGTTGATTTCTCGGGCATGTCTCGTTTGAAGAAGCTTGATTTGGGTGATAACAATATTACAGGTGAAATCCCAGAGGAGATCTCTAACTGCATCTCTCTGACTTCACTGTTACTGGATGCAAATAATCTACAGGGCCACATACCGGATTCACTGTCAAAATTAGCTAATTTGGTGGTGTTAAATCTTTCATCAAATGGGTTGAATGGAACCATTCCTTCAAGCCTTTCACTCATTTCTGGCTTGAAATACTTGAACTTGTCAAGAAATAATCTTGAGGGCGAGATTCCAGAAATGCTGGGTTCTCGGTTCAATGATCCTTCCATATTTGCAATGAACAGGCAACTATGTGGCAAGCCATTGCGCAGAGAGTGTCCGAATGTGAGAACAAGAAGAAAAAGGAAGAAGCTGATTATATTGATTGGTGTTACAGCAGCTGGAGCTTGCATTTTGGCATTCTGCTGTTGTGGTTATATTTATAGTCTCTTAAAATGGCGCAAGAAACTTATGGCAGGTGCAGCTGGGGAAAAGAAACGCAGCCCTGCTCGTGCAAGCCCAGGAGCAGAGAGAGGTCGTGGAAGTGTAGAAAATGGAGGGCCAAAACTTGTCATGTTCAGCACCAAGATAACATATGCAGAGACGCTAGAAGCAACTAGACAATTCGACGAGGAAAACGTGTTAAGCAGGGGAAGATATGGTCCTATTTTCAAGGCTTCATTTCAAGACGGAATGGTTTTATCAATCTGTCGCCTTGCTGATGGATCAATCGATGAAGGCACCTTCCGCAAAGAAGCTGAATCACTGGGCAAGGTGAAACACAGAAACATAACAGTTTTACGCGGATACTGTGCAGGACCTCCAGACTTGAGGCTCCTTGTTTACGATTACATGCCTAATGGAAACCTATCCACACTCCTCCAAGAGGCCTCTCACCAGGATGGCCATGTGCTGAACTGGCCAATGCGTCATCTCATTGCACTTGGAATTGCTCGTGGACTAGCATTTTTACACTCCCTGACAATAGTCCACGGCGATGTCAAGCCACAAAACGTTCTATTCGATGCTGATTTCGAAGCTCATTTATCCGAATTCGGACTCGATAGACTAGCAACTGCAGAAGCTTCAACATCTTCAACTCCAGTTGGGTCATTAGGATATGTGTCACCAGAAGCAGCATTAACCGGGCAAGCAACTAAAGAAGGCGATGTATACAGTTTTGGAATTGTATTGCTGGAGATACTAACAGGGAGGAAAGCTGTGATGTTTACTCAAGATGAAGACATAGTGAAATGGGTGAAGAGGCAATTGCAAAAGGGACAAATCTCAGAATTGCTTGAACCAGGATTGCTTGAGCTAGACCCAGAATCATCAGAATGGGAAGAGTTCTTGCTAGGGGTCAAAGTTGGGTTACTCTGTACTGCTTCTGATCCACTTGATAGACCATCAATGGCAGACATTGTTTTCATGCTTGAAGGTTGTAGAGTTGGACCAGATATCCCATCCTCAGCAGATCCTACCTCCTTACCCTCTCCCATCTGAATTTTTTTTTAAAACTAGCATGATCTTAATATAATGTAATTTTTTATTATGTAGTTATCATTATTCTTTTGCTCTGACTGGGATCTCCTTTTAAGCAACTCCTTTTAATGATTATTCCCATTGCTCGACCATCTTACTTCGATACTTGATACGGCGCCGTTCAGGAGGGACCATGGGCTTACTTCCCGCCAAATATAAAACATCCAATGAGAAAGGAGCACGTGGGCTGGAAAAAATAGCCGTTAATGTGTCTTTATAGGGAAGGGGGAAGTTGGCGTGAGTATCCGTGAAGTTGTGTCAGAGTGACTTTAGATTGTAAAAAGACTTGCCACGTCGGATGATGTGGGGCCATGAAATTTGGGGGATATTCAGGGTCACGTGGTCCCCGCAGTGTCTGAGGACGTATCAGCTGGTGTGAAGAAATAATATGGAGGCACGAAAGTTGTAGGGTTTTTTTTTTTTTGGCCTTTTGGGTCCCACTGGATGAGAAACCCCACCACCCTGTTTAACAAATTACTTTTATTTTGAGGAAACAACAAATTCATTTCCAGTATTTTTCTGCAATATATAATTATTTGAAGGAGAATTTGTGGATTCTCCTTGTAATCTTGACCGTCGGATATCTCTTTTTTTATAACAAAAAACTATTAAATTTTGGAATGGAAAACCAGAAAACATACATTTTTGTTTTATAAATTGAAGAAGAGGTTTTAAGCCAAGACTCTAATTTGGTTTGCTTCTTTCTTTTGTAAAATCAATATTTATTTCCAAATTAACAAATTATGTACCAAAATCTCCAACTGTATCAAAACTGAATCTCCTCTTGTATATTCGAACCCTATATGGCAGGGTATGGTTAAGTTTGTATGGTAAGACTCTTAACAGTAAAAGGAACCACAAAGTTAATTGCTTTTTCGCAACTTTATAATTTCAAGAAAAATATGACAATCAAGTCAGATTTATATTTTTTTATATGCATGGGGTCTAACTGGTCAAAACCAAGCGAAGTAAGGTATTTACTCTCTATATGCATAGAGAGTGTGGTCCATGGTAAGTTGTAGTAAATTTTCACATGGGTCAAGCGTGTGAAAACAGCATATCCACCATATCTCTCTGGAGGCCTCTGCGACTGCAACTTCATCCTCGTGAACTTTAAAGTGAATGAATGAATACCCATATTTGGTGCTGTCTGCTCAGCGAGTAGTACGTCTAATTACATAAAAACAGCTCACACTGACTTCATGAATGAGAGACGTATGTGTATGCATACACATTTTATCTATAGATGTATTTTCCAGTTCTGATGTAAAAGCATCCGGCTGTCGTAGTAAGCTTTTAGTTTGCTTTACCAAAACAAGAGTTTGAAACCGTATTTCAATTTCGAAACCAAACTATCTCCAACCGGCATTAATAAGTCTCAAAGTCAAATGGGGAGTCAACCAAAAATTTTCACCATGGAAAGTCTTTGAGAATGTAGCAGTTACAAATAAAATATAGATTAAAATATATTCAAATTGAAAATCATCAAATTTCGTCATCCAAGTGGATTAATTTAATTAACCCAACTAGTATTTACTAGTTTTTCTCAGCTTTAACTAGTTTTTATGCTTATTGATTACATCTTTTCAAACCAGACCTGCTAGATGCTCAACTGTTGGACTAGTCAGACCTGAGTTCATTCTTAGTATCCACAACTATGGACTCAGGTATAAATGAGATGTTTAGAAAAGATACACAAATAAAGAATGAATTTCCTAACTAATTACACCTTTCCTTAATCTATATGATACAGAAATGTTAAACCAGGCTCCTTTTAGGCTGATATTAGATCCTCGGGAAAGGATTCATTGTCTGAATCTGGTGTGAGAAACCGACGGCAAGCATAAAACATGGCCGAATGGAACCCACTGGGGTTGTCAATGAACACAAAGTGGCCACCCTGCCAAGCATACAAAGAAAGATTAGACTGAAGGTTCTTTTAGATGCATGCATAAATAGACACACAGAAAAAGAAATAAACAGACCTGGGGAACCCTAATTATTTCACAGGGGACCTTCATTTGCTTGCGGGCTTCCTGGGCCCCTTGATAGTTCATCCAATCTTGGACCCCATAAATAAAAGTGGTTGGTACTTTCCAGTCTGATGCACTGTACACAGGTCAGATGGATACATCAGAAATTTTTTACCTCTTCACCATCTGTATTCAAGAACGTGGAAAACAAAAAGATATAGGGTTTCACTATCTTCCGGAAAAATTAATTCAGTGTACCTTATACACTCATAACCGGGACAACAACACTTTGACCTCCTAAGAGAGAAGACTACTGGGCTACTGCCTATCATTCATGGGTAACATAATTATTGAATTGGTCCAAAATTTTCAGGAAGCATAACATCTTATATCAGGCATTAAGGGTTTCCAATTCTCAAGAGCATTCCTGTTGATTTTATTTAAGTTCCCTACTTAACTTATTAACATTACGTACATCCATGACGAGAAGCCCGAAAAGGCTGAAAGCACATTCAAAGCCCTGGCCCTACACCGTTAATTCATAAAAAATGACAGAGTATATCATGTGGAAAAAATTGGTCTCAGCTGAATCTACTGTTTTCTTACATATATTAAAATATCTTTTTGGAACAATAGATCTCCGTTATAGAGAAAGCTTCTAAATCTATGGGAGGCCATTGCATGAGGTTAAAATTTCATCAGGCCAAGTGGCAATCAATTTCCAACATACTGGCCCACAAACCTAGCTAGGACTGCATCGCAGTACTTTGGCAGCCTCCTGGAAGTCCAACCAGCAGAGAGAAGGGACCAGTCTGTTTCACAAATGCATCTAATGTGCTACAAGTTAATATAGGTCGGGATACTGAAAATTCGAGATTTGACCTCACTAGTCATGCTCCAGCTATTAAACTAGAATCATACTGTTCACTAGGTTGTCTGATAATCATCGTGATTTATTCATGTGATATACTAGAAAGCAAGAAAATTAAATTCTTTTCTAATAAGTTGATTACTAAACCTGCGCAGAAGAGGCATCCGAGTAAATGCTCCAAATGAGAATATGTATTTCAAGCACAGCTCTCCACTGGCCTTGGCAGCCAAAGTGTGGTAGACATAATCTTCAGTTGGTAAAACAACCATCAGATATACTTACATACAACAAAGCAACAAGGGGTGGGGGTGACAAGAGGAAGTAATGATACAACCTGTCAGTAATCTGGACTCCTCTTCAGTCAATATAGTCCCAGATGAATATGCACCAAACCTAGCACTTGTATACCTACGAACAAGATCTGGACCCCAAGGACCTAAGCCTCTACATAAAAAGGATTTTCCAGAAAAACACAATGAATATATATATATATATATATTGATAAAAAAAGAAACTTCATTAAGTAGGAAAAGAAGAAAAAGTACAAAAATGGACAATAAGACATACTCCTAGAAATAAGCTTCAAAAAAAAGAAAAAGAAAAACACAATGAATATACAAGAACCTGAAACACAGGTAGGATAATTTTTCCGAAAAGCACAATGAATATACGAGAACCAGAAAAACAAAGCATGATATACTTTCTTCCCTCTTTTTACACAGGATATCTAAAGACATGAAACTGAATATACCAGCTGAAAACAACTATCATCGTTACAACAGATTATGAGAAAACAAGGGCAGAATAAAACAGGCAAATCTCATGTAAGGTACGGATGGCACATGTACTAGATAGATCGTTGAGTCTTCGAAAGCAATGCTCAGAAGATTCTATTCCTAAGGACATGTCAATACCACATTACAGATAAGTGTTATTGGCATGTGTTTATATGCATTAGATTGCAAGTTTTTATCTGCGTGAGAGCGTATATGCACTATAAAAGCAATGCGAGAACTGAATAACTAATATCAAAGAAAGATATGAAAAATGAACGAAATGGAACTCTAAAACAATAAAACTTGCGCATCAATGTACCTTTTCTTTTCCAAGCAAACATGAACCATCCCATTGTGACATCATTCCAAGAACATATCCAAAATAAGCAGAAAAAGGAAAAGTAAAAAGATATATTTATGTACCTAACAAGCTTTTGAGGAGTAAAATTGGACTCCCATAAATGGTTCAGAATTGCTCCTTTCCATGTTGCTCTGAACCTGGTAATCCACTCAGATTTTGCATCTGATTCTGATGAAAATCCAGCTGGCCCCACTAAAATCAAGTGCTGAACATGCTCAGGATGCTTTACAGCAAATACAATTGGAGAAAAAAAAATCAGAATATGTTGTTATCCTTGTCAGTTAAGAGTTGAATATAAACATGAGAATGCAATCACCTTAAGAGCATATTTAGCCGCAACATAACCACCGAAAGAATGTCCAAGCAATATAAAGTTGCTAAGATTTTTTGCTTTGCGCCATTCCTCAAAGGAATCAATGAACCATGCCTCAGTTTCTGCAGTACCAAGTCCAATAGAAAAGGAAAGTTATACTAAGTTAAGATATGCAAGTAGATGATATTTGTAAAACTACTTGGTAACGAAATCCTGAGAAAATGTACAGCTCAAAAATACTACCTTCAGTGCTTTTGCACGAGAAATCTGGCCTGCTTGATCCACCCCAACTAAAAAAAGGAGGCAAAGAAGGTTGAGAAACCACATGCATATCTAATCAAATCAATGCCAGTGCAGAAACACGATAACCTATAACTGAAAATGTAGAAGCATTTAACAAGTTTTGAACACTCTGCAACAAGAGTACCTAACCAATGAACTAATAATCGGTGACCAGAAACTTGCTTACGACATGCAATCATGCATATATAGACATCTGAGGTGACTGAAGTCTACAAACCTAAAAATTTAGCAGTTGCTGATGTCTGCAATGTAAATTGATCTAGTTGTACATTCAATAACAGTATAGAAGATTTCAGAAGTAGATTTTGTAAATAATCAGTAGCTAAAGCAAAAGAAGGTCTACAGCAAAACAATGAACATATGAAATATGAAAAATACTGTGGTCAATTCCAGCACAGGGCAGCAAAAACTTACCCGAGCTGATCAATAGCAATAACCCGGAAATGACTGGCGAGGGCATCAAAGTTCCGGAAGAAGAAACCTTGTGATGCAGCATATCCATGGACCATCACAAGAGTGGGAGAATCCTCTTTGCTGTCAAAGGTGACTGTGTTGATAAATCTTGGCTCGTTGCTTGAAGAACGAAACCACCTGATTTTGGACCCTGGTGGGCCTGAGCCTATATTAACTTGTTCTTGAACATACGGGGTCCTGAATAACAATAGATCAACCATCAGTCCAACTTGTTCTGAGTTTGAGCAACTAAATCATTCTCCTAAATTTGATAAGAGAAAATTATATTAATGCTTCGTACTTATGATATGCTCACTGACTTGTAAATCTTTTGTACATGGGTGGCATCCCCTTGGTGCCTATACTTCAATACATCTTTCTACTTTTTTATCTCAAAAAAAAAAAAAAAAAAATTGCCCCCAGTATTTTTTAAATTGTATACTCACTGCTTACTGCAATTTCCTGAAATCTAAAATGAGTATATTAATTAAAAACCTAAATGAACAAATAAAATTTAATATACATTATAATTCTTTTGCTGTACCTTTTAACTGAATGTTTACTATAGAAAACTTAAATTTTAATAGTACATCTAAAGAAAAAGGAAGGAGCAGCAACAATCAGCTTGCTGTTGGTGCCACCAGCCAAATTCGACCTATTCATATTGAAATGTGTTTCATCTTACCAGCATTTGCACTCTAATCCAACGACCATTGAAGCACTCTTAGATAGGGAACAAACTGTCTCGGAACAGAAAAAGATGATGATGGAGAATCTGGACAGTTGGCTTACTAAGACCAAAGTATCACAAGTATTATTGATTTCAAATAGTATAACTAGCCATTGGATTCAAAAATGGCTAGTAAACCCTACTTCGGATTTGGTAAAAACCAACATCACTGGCTGTCTCAATTGCAAACACATCACTTGCAACAGCCACGGAAGCCAAGAGCCTTTCTTATCTAGTTGGAGCGCAGGCAAGCTGCACCAAGCCGTCTGTTATTTCCTCTAATTATCTAATTATTTTATGATTTTATAATAATAATACTAGTTCGTATATTATACTTCTGGTTGAGAATTGTAGCTTTACTTCCAAAGTCCAAAGTAAAGATCAATGATAAATGTCAAATGTCCAGGTAAAATAATTGGATGGCACTCCAATTACCCAGCAAAGAATGTAACAAGATATACAGAAAAACAATTGAAATTAATGAAGAAATAGGTTGGCATATACTTCTCATTGAATCGACCTTTTTCCTTCTCTCAATTTTCTCAACGACAAGATAGATGAATCTTATACTCGCAAAGATATCATACGAGAACTCTAATTAGTGCAGCTAGGGTTCTCAACTTCGACATGCCGATTGACGGTATCAAATGAATTAAAGGATTCGAAATCCCAGAATCTCCCAGAAAGTCTAAATTTTACGTTTCTCACAATTTCTTAAAGGGGATCATTCGGATGCTTCATTCAATTCAATTCAATTCAATTTGGCTGATTAACAGTCCATTTCTTTCAAAAAAAGAACAGACAAGAAAAGCAGGCAGACAAAAAATCAAAGAAGAAAGAGAAAAGGGCAGTTACTTGATTAGAGAAAGGAGACGCTTCTCGGCGGCGACAATATGATCGGTAGAAGAGGGTATCCAACGTAAGAGAGAAGGCCACAAGGATCTGGATTTTGAAGGTGCAGATGAAGTAGCGGCAGACGATCGCAGGTCGGTCTTGCCAACTTCCTCGGCCATCCTGGATAATACAGAGGTGGAGAAGTGATAGTGAATGGGGTTAAACTTCATACAAAACACCGATTCTCTAACAATAACACGAAATTTTGCCCCTTCTGAAATGGTGCCATATGATATATATGTTTTGTGTTTATATAGATTATAATGTGTGTCGAATAAGGCGTCTGCAAATTTGAGCGCCACGAAAGGTGTGTGTGGGCTTTTCAGGGTTGAGAAGGAAATGGAAGACTGATAATGTAAAGTCAAAGACGTATAAAATTTGACGCAAGTGCCTCCCGGGTGTGTATTCCATGTGAAAAGAAAGAATGAGTTGGAATGTGCTGGAGATTTTTTAGTTTAAATTATGATATATTATATTATATTCAAGTAATTTCATATTATTTTTGTTTGAACTTAAATTTGACAAAAAAAACAACAAAGTGCAAAATTAAGAAAAGAGTTAGATATAAGCTTAACTCTTTCTTAATTTAATTTTGTTTTAAAGAAATAACTAATCGTAATTATCTATAAAAATATGCAAAATTAACCCATTTGAAAATTGAATATTTCATGATATGAAAAAAATGAAAAGACATGTGGCCCAAGAGGAGAAATAAGAATTATACAATCAGCTGAGATATATGTAAAGTACATAACATACATTTTTACAATCAAAATCCTGTTAAACTATAAAAAGTTATAAACTTTCAAAGTCATCAACTTTCTATTATATTTATTCAAAGTTATAAGCATGCAATTAGATTTTTTTTTTATTATTTATTTTTTGGAGTGAACTTCTTTATATATAATTTCTTTTTTATTAATAGATATTTTTAACGTTATAATAACTAATGCAAGTTTTTCATCTTCTTGCTTATTAATGGAAGACTTAAAATTAATGACATTCTTTTTGTTGTCTTTATCTTTTTCTGTCTTTTTCTTTTTTCCATATTAAGCATACGTGTAACTTCCAATCTTAACTTATAAGATCTCTAGCTTTTTGTATAGTTGTGATCTTTATTAGAACGTCAAATTTAATATGTGAAACGATCCATGCTGATTAAGGAGAGATTTTAAGTATCTTAGTGTTTTTCTCATCTTTTTATTTTTTAGTCTAGGCTAATATATTTATTTTCAAATTATTCTTTTTCTTTCTTATCTACTTTCTTTATTAAATGCATTTCTATATTTGTATTGTACAATTGTAGTTTTTTTTCTTTTCGATTGGTTGTATTTGGGGTTCATAGATTATTGATAGTAAAATTTCTGTGTAAAGTTTAAGCTAACTACAGTGCCATGACAAAAAAAAACAATAAGTTTAACCAGATTGAAAAATAAAGTAATTGAGGTTCAGTCTGTAAGATTCAATATTCAAAATTGTATTATTTAGTTAGGAGATTACATACAGAGAAAACTTGTAACTTTCAGGTACTAATACAGATAATGATAAGTCTATAAAAGCTAAAAGGTGACAGGATATGACAAACATGACAAAAAGAACCAAAAATAAAAGATAGATAGTTATGCATTATAATGATGATAACACATAAATCATGAAAAATAATGTGATTGAGAAGACTCTAGGTGAAATTCAAGAGATGACATCCAAATTAGACATTATATCGATCTCGACTAACATCTCCAAAAATTCAAACAAAGGTGTTGGGCTAGGGTCAAGTTTGATCTACTCTATCAAGTTCATTGATTTACTTCATGCCCAAATGGAGATAAGTAATGCTGAAACCCAATTGGTTGGCTTTAAAAAAATAATGAATATATGAATTTGGTCAAGAGATTCCATGAACATGAGCTTAGAGAAGTCCAAGTAGAGAAAGTTGCAAATATAGAACAAAATAATTAGGCTTAGATGCATAAAGAAAAAGAACTATAATCCAAACAAGCGTAGCACAATCATTGTATCAAGACTGTGTCGTCCATATCATGTGACATGCAACATTCAGTTAAGTACATAGATAGTCTGAGTTTAGATGAAAAATTAGTGATTGTTGAGAAGAGTGAGGGACATCATGACGACAAAATAGATACAATGGCTAACAAGATTAAACGTAGAGATTGGAGAAAGCTTCATAGAAAAAAGGAGATTGAAGGTGATACCAATGGTTGGGCTAAACAATTATTTAGAACAATAACTTTATTTAGTATAATTGTATGATTTGAAGTTGATTTCATTCATTCAGATCACTTCCTCGATCTACATTAATATATCAACATAAATTCATATAATTCCCTTAATAATAAAGAGAGTAATTATAAATACATTTCATATATCTCATTATTCTCTCCATAACTTTTTTATATTCTTTTTACGTTTCTTTTTTTTTTTTATAGTTATATTAATATTTATTTATAAGACTAACAAATATACTAAATATTCAGTTGTGTGCACATCATTTTGTCTATCGAACTCTTCACTATCTTAGAATATTGTAATTTTCTTATTTATTATTTTTACTTTAAAGCTTTAGAAAACATATTAAGACTTAGACCATCACCTTTAACAATAAGGCATGAATAAAATTATATTTGTCATAAGATTATGGCTAAATCTAAAAAGACATGTCTCTGGTACAATTTGAAATAATAAAGCATATAGTGGTGGTTGCAACGAAATTTAAGAGTTCTCGTTATTTTTAATAAAATAAAACTAATATTAGTAAAATATATAATGAAATTAGAAAGTGATCATTCAATTTTTATATTTACAAGCATATTTTTATTTGAATCACTTCAGTATTAATATTATGTGACTTGTAAATTATAAATTTTTAATTATCATATTTTAAAATATTATCGTAAGCTTAGAAATAAAAAAATTGAAATATAAATTTGAAGAAGAACTCATCAAAAACTAAATCAAATCTACTTTGAGAAAAATTTTGAAGTTTAAACTTAAGTATCCAGTGGATCTTCCATGAATTTGGAATTTTCTTGAAGAGAAATTCTTTTTAAATATTCTCTCATAATTGCGGAACCCTCAAATACAAATTTGGAATTTTCGTGAATAGTAAATTCGACAGTTAAATAGCCAAGAATCTTACAAAGAGAAGTTATCTACACCCGTTAAACCTTCTCCATTTGAATGCAAAATCCGTTTATCAAAAGAAAAACCCTTCTGTATTTAACAGTCACTGTGGCTGAGCGGAAGTGGAGGAACTGAGAGACATGGGGTTTTAGGGCTTTGAACTCCAACTCTCATGGAAGCTCTCAAATCCTCGGGTTTCGGCATTTGCCTCTCTGCTTCCTTCTCTCTCCCGATAAGACCACCCGCTAAGCTCACGCCTTTCACCGTCTGCTCCGCCAGCAAATGGGCCGACCGTCTCCTCCCCGACTTCCAATTCACCACCACCGACTCTCTTCCTCTCTCCCCAACCACCGCCACTCTCTCTCCTCCTCCTCCTCAATTCGCTCCTCCAGAGCGCTACGTCTCCATCCCCATTGACTTCTATAAGGTCGCTCTCTCTCTCTCTCTGTTCAGTTTCTCAGTATTCATCTCATGTTATAGTAATTTTAGTAGATAATTCTTTTTAGTGTGTCATTTTGGGAACAGGTATTAGGAGCTGAGACTCATTTCTTGGGAGATGGTATCAGGAGGGCTTATGAAGCTAGGGTTTCCAAGCCGCCTCAGTATGGGTTCAGCTCTGATGCATTGATCAGTCGTAGGCAGATTCTGCAAGCAGCTTGCGACATCCTATCCGACTTTACGTCTAGAAGAGAATACAACCAAAACCTCGTTGAAGACGAGGAAAGTACTATAGTCACAGAAGTTCCCTGGGACAAGGTAATCGTACCATAACCTTGCTTTGCTTGGTTCTTCAGTAAAATTTTTAGAGGATTGAAATGAAGCTCAATGGGATTAGTTTATGCATACGTTCATGGAAATGTAGGTTCCTGGAGCTCTCTGTGTCTTACAAGAAGCAGGGGAGACTGAAATAGTGCTTCACATTGGAGACAGATTGCTCAAAGAGAGATTGCCTAAGTCGTTCAAACAGGATGTCGTGCTGGCGATGGCGCTTGCTTATGTTGAAGTTTCAAGGGATGCCATGGCATTGGAGCTGCCTGATTTTATTAGAGGCTGTGAGATGCTTGAGAGAGCTTTGAAGCTGCTGCAGGTATCTAACCATGTTTCCTAGCTGTGATTTATACTTTATTTAGATCGTAGTAAATGATAAGATTTTAATGTATGATACTTCATAGGTATGAGAAAATTATGTATGTTTCAACTTTCAATGATAACAAACAATATCTGACCGACAAATTTGAGATAAATTTTAAAACCACCGAATCGGTGATATGTGGCTGACATGTTACTTTTTTTTTTCTTTATACTCCCATATAATATATTTAATTCTATTTTTATGTTCACAATTTATTATTTATTTTATTAAATATAAAAATTTAATTTATAATAATTATTTATTTAAATACAAATATAATTATATTGTTAAACAATTTATTTATTTTTAGTATATATTTCTTATATACCATTTATTGTTACATATAATAAGTAAAGATAAATTAGTAATTTGACTGAAAATACAACCATACCATCTTATAATCTAAACAAAAATATGCCATTAACATACATTAATATACAACCATCCAAATATAAAATTTTTTTGTCATTCTCATTCTATGTCATTGTCATCCAATTACTGTCATTACCATATATTAATTAACTATCACTAAAATTTATTTAAATAGAGTGTTAATGACGAGCACATTTTTTTCTTTTTTTTCCCTCCCCTTGTTCTTGGCTATTAAGTTTATGAGTTGTTTAGAAAAATTAGGAAAATGTAGGGGGGATGCTTTTAGAACCTTCTTCCTCGAATAGTTCTGTCTAATAAGATGCAATCCACCTATATAAATGGAAGAAAAATCAAATTGCATTCTTGAGCCCAATGGGAAGCTTCCTCGTAAATATTGTGTGGAGAATTTTAATATTGATGCAAACTTTTTGTGTTGAACAGGAGTATATTTCTTTTCCAGCAAGAACTAGCTTCTTGCAAATGTGAGAGTTTTCATTTTACCTTGTCTTCAGTTATCTTATAAATCTGGGAGGTTTATTGGTTCTGATCTATGTTATTGAACTCTTTGCACATTACATTACTTGATAGTTTCTGGTATTGAGCATGTAGGAGGAAGGGGCCAGTATTCTGGCACCAGATTTACGAGCACAAATTGATGAGACATTGGAAGAGATCACACCACACTGTGTTCTGGAGCTTCTAGCCTTACCTCTTACTGATGAGTATCTGAGTAGAAGGAAAGAGGGTCTTCGAGGTGTGAGCAATGTTTTATGGTCTGTTGGTGGAGGGGGAGCAGCAGCAGTTGCTGGAGGATTCACACGTGAAGATTTTATGAATGAAGCCTTCTCACGCATGACAGCAGCCGAGCAGGTAGTATGACAGGTTCCTATTATTACATTTACCTTGAAAATTTTATGTTTGCTGATAATAGTTTATTCATTATAATTTTTAAATTTCATTTTGGAAGGTTAACCTGTTCATGGCCACCCCTAATAATATCCCGGCTGAGAGTTTTGAAGTTTATGGAGTGGCTCTTGCTCTTGTAGCAGAAGCCTTTGTGGGCAAAAAACCTCATCTCATACGAGATGCTGAAAATTTAATTCAACAACTTCAGCAAGCTAAGATAGTAAGTCTAGAAAATTCCATCTCTTTCTCTCCTCTGAAAGAAAACCGTGAGACAGACTTTGCTCTGGAAAGGGGTCTTTGTTCTCTGCTTGTGGGAGAACTGGATGAGTGTCGCATGTGGTTGGGCCTTGATAATGATAGCTCACCGTATAGAAATCCATCTATTGTAGAGTTTATTATGAAGAATTCAGAGAATGACAATGATAATGATCTTCCTGGGCTTTGTAAGTTGTTGGAGACATGGTTGATTGGAGTAGTTTTTCCCAGATTCAGAAACACGAAAGACATACAATTCAGACTTGGAGATTACTATGATGATCCTACAGTTCTGATGTACTTGGAAAGGCTTGAGGGAGTTCATGGTTCGCCCTTAGCTGCAGCAGCAGCTATAGCAAGAATTGGGGCGGAGCATGTAAAAGCTAGTGCAATTCAGGCATTGCAAACAGTTTTTCCTCTTGGCCGCGGAGATAAAGTCTTAGAAAAGACAAGTGGAAAGGAAGCATTGCAGAAGATGTCTCCTTTTGGTCATGTAGATGAGAGTTTGAGACCTGGAGGCGAGAGGAATGACATCCTTACGGTTGAAAGTGAGGAGCCTTTGGGAGAGACTGATCTAGATGATTCTCTCCTCAAAGCCAAGGTTCAAAAAGGAAAAGCTGATGATATATATGAAGAAGAATCAATTACCGACAGAATCAAAGATGCTAGTTTGAAGATTATTTGTGGTGGTGTGTTGATTGGAATGATAACCTTGGTTGGACTGAAATCTTTACCAGCTAAGAATGCTGCTCGCATCCTTCATAAGGAAACTGGTTCAACCATGGAATCTGATATTGGTAATGTAGGTATGATCTAATACTATATAAGTTGATATGCTTAACTCGTACAGGTACTGCTTCATAAATTATTTTTTATCCTAGAGCCTCATACCTAATTATACTTGGTCTTTACAAGTTGTAAATTAATTTTTGTTGCTTGAAGTCTTACTTGCTACTTTGTTCTATAATGAACTTCAGCGCTTTAGAAAATTTTTTAATGTGTTTGGTTGTCTACAAAAGGCCACTTTTTGTTAGTATTAATGCTCAAAGGGAAGGATTCGTTCCCAGTAAACCTGACCTTGACAGTTTCAGGGACATCATGGTGGGAAAACACAACATCATTTGTTGCTTGCACAAGAGATGAAGTTTAATCTTTACAAAGGTTTTAGATCTCTTTCTTTCATTAGTACTTCATTTCAAAAAAAAGGTTGTCAAAGTGCAATTATTTCTAAACATGTAGTATCCACTAAGTCCTGGAACACTCTTGTGCTTCAGAGGAAAAAAAATTAGGTGCTAAACCATTGCTGTTGTTTTTGAATGCTTGCGGATAATCAGCTTTTCAATCATTTTCTCTCTTAGTTTTCCCAAATAAACAGAGCTTGCATATAGTTCCCAGGCTTAATGAAAACTCTAAAGCATATCTGTGCCAAAAAGCTGGGTCACTGTTTGGTGGTGGGTGATATGGTATTAAGAGCATGTCGTGTATCTAAAAGCTTAACATGGATGCAATCAATTAATCCAGATTCAACTGTGCAGGGTCCTTAGTAGATGAAAGTTCTGAGGAGAAACTACCCAAAATGGATGCTAGGTTTGCTGAAGATATAGTGTGCAAGTGGCAGAACATTAAATCCGAGGCTTTTGGGCCTAACCACCGCCTGGAAAAGTTGCCTGAGGTAAGGAAATTGATCTTACAATGAGTGGTGTGCTTCAATCAAACATACAAATAAATTCCTTTTCCATAAGACAGACTACTCCTTTCTCTAGTGTAGTTGACTTTTTGACTCTTGACTTATTAATTTGTCCAGAACAAGTATATAATCTACTTGGATAAATCACCTCCCACACTGGCCAGGGGGTATTGTTTCATAACTTTTTCTAAAAGAAGAGAGAAGCATTACGTTTATTTAAATGAACCTTACTCACAATCCTTCCAACCAGGATTAGTCTTTGTTTATGGCTTTTGGAAGGTCAAATAATAATGATTTGCTCCAAGCGTGCACCATACATGCTCTTTCTATGGATGTCCTTGTTATTTGTCTGTTGTAAGGCTGAATCCTGTTGGCTTTTTTTTTTTTTCATAATGATGTGGCCTGGATACTCTAGTAAGATTTATAATTCTTGTATTCTGGCCAAATTCCCTACCAAACTTATTTAGAAATAGTTCGCTTCCCCCAGAATTTCTTTTCTTGCATGGGAGGCTGCTAAGGGTCGCATTCTTACATTAGGTAACCTTATGAAGAGAGGTGTATACTTGGTTAACAGATGTTCACTGTGTAAGCAGAATTTGGAGACTTGCAATCACCAATTATTATGGTGCCCGGTTTCTTACATGCTTTGGTTGATTTATAGCCTACTGGGTCTTCACTGGACCATTGCGGGGTCTGTCAAAGATGAACTTCTTGCTTGGGAGGGGATTAGAATGAAGCAAAAGTGCCTTAGACTTATACGGACTCCATTATCTGGGTAATTTGGAAAGAAAGAAACACTAGAGTCTTCGAGGGCAATGATACGGATTTGTCACTATGAAGGATAGATGAATTCATTTTTTTGGGTTCATAACTTTTATAGTTTAGAAGATTTTGGATTTATTGTAGATATTTTTATAGATCTATAAATTCCTTTTCTCTCTCTTGTACATGGGTGGCGCGCCCTTGGTGCTTTCTCATTAATACACTTTTTCTCCCTTTTATTTCAAAAAAAAAAAAACTAAGGTAAGGTGCCTTATTATGGGCATCGAAATACAATTAAAATTAGACAGTATAGGAAATAGGAAAATAGACTAAGTGAAAGGAATTTTAGACGAATACGTATGAAAAGGAAATTAAAAATTCCTATTTCTTTTATTGCAAAACTTTATTCTTACTAGAAAAAGAAATTAAATCCTTATGTTTCTTTTAGTGTAAAACTTCCCTAAAGGCTAAACATTTATTTTCTTTTATTGGTCTTGTGTCATTAATTCTTAAATATCATAATTAAGGTTTGGTTGCATCGTACAACCACAAAGATTGAGAAAATTCTTAGGAACTCTATTGAATAATTAAACTCCTCTCAAAAGTGAGATTACTGAGGTCACTAAATAAAATAATACTAATAAAAATAGAAGACTAAATATTTACATAAAATAAATTTTTTTTTTTGAGATAAAAGAGAAAGAGTATTATTATGCACAAAGATACTAAGGGGGTACCGCATGAAAACTACATAAAATAAAATCTTTAAGTTATTAAAATTATAAGAATAACTCTAAATTGTAAAGTAACTCTATATTTAAGAAAAGTGTAGCTTCTATTTTTAGGAAATCTTAACCTAATCTGTACTATATTATTCTCTTTTAATTAGAGAAAACTTGTCCATTAATTTCGAAGTGGTGAATAATGCAAAACCTTAATTTTTGAACTTCCAATTAAATTTAACAGACTTTGTGCCTGGTCATTTGCCTCAATAACATAAATATGGAAACACACAATTGGTTATCAGTGTGAAATTCTGTAGGTTGGACGAAATCTGGATACAGAAAATTTGTGCTTCACTTTCATCATTGAGTTGCCTCCTTGCACCGAACTCCTACAGAAGTCTCCATGGGTGGAAGATCCCGAAGATTCCCTATATCTTTGCTCTTGCGGAATACGTCTCTGCTTTAGTCATAGGTTTTAAAACTACATTCCACATACCAGCATAGATGATAGCTTTAGTAGTCTCATTATGTTGAATATGATCATAAAGGTTGGCTAGAAGAATATATGCAATATTCATAGTATGTAAAAATGAGTCAATTTAAGCACAATGACAAATAGGAAAAAGAATACTCGTATTCTATCGCAATGTTAGTCAGTATGGTCATAGATGTGGTTGTACTAAAATTTTGAGCCGTTCAGATGCAGAGGTCGGAAAAAGGTTCATGCAACAAACGTCCTGAATGACAAACTTCTAATTTTTATTTCCAAAATCGACCAAACGTATGAAAAGCTGGAGATACTTCCAACATTTTTTCATTTCAACTGATTGAATTTACTTAACTACAAGCAAAAACAATTTCTGAGTCTACAGATGAGTGTCTCTTTCTTTTCCTCATTATTCCACATTAATTTTTTTTTTTAATTTCTGAGTCTACAGATGAGTGTCTCTTTCTTTTCCTCATTATTCCACATTAATTTTTTTTTTATAAGAGTAAAATGGAGTCAGAATTGGTGATAAAGATTTCATAATCAAGAAAAGCAGCCAAGCATTCTTAGTTTGAACTATTGAAACCCTTCTTTTAAGAAGCCTGAACTGGTTCATAGTGAATCGATCTGGTCAGAAAAAAACTGGCTGAACTAGTCAAATAGTGCTGATTGGACAAATCCAACTCTTGTTGATGTGAGTGTGAGGCTCATATGCTGACTTCTAGTCGTCACCAGAGGACATCGGGATTCTGACTCTAGGCTCGGTTTGAAATGGTGGTTGTACATCAAGATTCAGTGCAACTTTTCATGGATGGAACAAAGCTGTTCTGGTGAGGCATTGAAAGGCTCTTATAAGTGGTGGTTTTTGGTAGATTTTGCATTGGGGCTCCAAGAATATGGCAGTGAACTCTCTGGTGCTCCTGGTGGAGGCTATGTTAAATATTGTCCTAGTTGTGGGTGATTTTGCAACTTTTTATTATTGCATAGATGTTCAATCTTCACAGTTGAAGATTCTTAAGCATCATACGTACGGATTTATTTGCATACCACAACTAAAAAGATTGAGAAAATTATTGTATATTCTTATTTGACCCTGAGAATTATTGCCAGGTTTTGGATGGTCGGATGTTGAAGATATGGAGGGATAGAGCAGCTGAAATTGCACAGCTTGGTTTGGTGTATGACTACACTCTGTTGAAAGTAACCATTGACAGTGTGACTGTCTCGGCAGATGGATGCCGCGCTGTGGTGGAAGCAGCTCTTGAAGAGTCTGCTAGCCTGACAGACACAGCCCATCCAGAAAACAATGCCTCAAATTTCAGAACCTACACGACAAGATACGAGATTTCTAGGTCCAATTCAGGATGGAAAATTACGGAAGGATCTGTGCTCACATCATAATCAGATAAGTACGTCATCGGTGTAAATGTCATCCATGTTTTTGTTAGGCCACCTGCCAATGTATTATTTGATAATAGCCTATTATCGTGTATTGGTCTATATTATATGATCCCAGCCGCTCAGGTCAGCTGGGTTTTGTTTGATAATAATTATAGTAGTAATATCCAAATTGTTCATGTGCATTCGTTTTTCACTTCAAAATTTATTACTAATACAAGGCAAGTGTCATGCGGAGCCTCCAATGACCAAAGTTCCCGGAAGATTTTAACTTGATTAAAAATGTGAGAATGGATTCTTATACCGGGTTTTGACTATAGAGCGTTGAACCACAAAATTTGATTGGAGTATAATTAACTAGCACCATCATAATCATAGCATAGCAGGTTTCTAAGATTCAATACTTGAGGCATGTAATGGTGCTTGTTTTCTATTGATTGTTGACTGGGGGCAGTCACATGAGGTCGGCAATGGTCCTTCACGTGCTCGGGTCTCTTCCCTTTATGTTCAAACAGCTGGGCCGTTACTGTTAACGAAGGTGTAGAGTTGCTGAGTATAAGCATCTTCTCATCCCTTAAAAAGGTGTTGCGTAGGCAAAGAACCCAGTTGATGTTAAAATTTAAGTGAAAATCAAGAACAAAATGTTGTATCCCTATTTCCCGATGAGGTGGAACTTACGCATGCAGGTTGGACGACCTAAGACAATCGGAATTATACACTAGTGAAGTTGTAAGCCTTACATTAATTGAATTAGAAGGCAATTCCAGAAATAAGATTCAGAGGGCATATTTTTGTCCCTGAAGGACAGGGAAAGTACAAACCGATACTTCAAGCCAAGGAAGACTAGCCTAATTTGCGTAACTCCTTGATGAAAAGGAGCTCGTGTAAAATTGAGCTCATATTGAACATTAATTCGTGTGCGCATTTTGTTTCCCAAAGAGATATTTTATACACAACAATTGAGCTCACTCGGTACGCCCCTCAGAGCGGGGTTTCTCATGGCATGGTTCAAGCTTTTACACCAATGGGCAATGCAGCAATACATATACATATAAAGAGAGAGGCGGAGCAGCAACATATATATATATATATATATATAGAAAGAGATGTCACGTGCACATCTTTAGGGTAGAAAGGCTAGAATAGAAGGGGCAAGTAATAAAGCTATATTCTCCACAAGCTATATTCATATAGAATTCATTTATGTTCAAGGACCAAACAACAACCCATAGAACTTTACACTACTACAACTAGAATCACCTCACAAGTTTTTTACTTTTACAATCAGAACCTAGGAAATCAAAGGGCAAGTTTGTTATTAATAATAATTTTTTCCCGCCAAAATGGTAAAGGAATTATGACTCGGAGGGATCTCCACTTTGTTTTAAAAAAATTACATTATAGTTATAGAAGATTTCCTGCTGAATGATCTCCAAGTGGTTGATCTAGGTGAGAAAGTTAGTCCAAAGATTTCCTTGGGCGCCTGGCTTGGCTCTACCAACCCAATCAACTTTGCAACAAGTGCAGCACTCTCCTTTATATGCTCCATATCTTTAGTCTCTGTCCACAAGCGCTGTGTCAACTGTAGGCCTCTCAGTTTTGTCTTCAAATTTATACCCCACTTCTGGTAAAGTTTCTCTCTCTCCCTTCTCGAGAACTTCTTTTTTATTTGTCTGCTTAGCATTTCCCTCTCCCGGCTGAGAGCCTTCGCACTGTCCCTGCGACCAGAAATGCTATATGGAAGGAGTTTCTACACATTTATATATTTCATGCAGAAGCCACCTCTTGTTACAGCAATAACGTCTTAAGTATGGCTGATTCTAGGCAATATGAAGAGCACGAGAACTTCACTTATCAATACCCTTAAGTACCACCCAAAAAAAAAAAAAGAAATCGAATATTGTAAAACAAGGCTGTAAATGTTCTCTTCACCAATGCATGGCCTACTGTATGAATTCCAATTTTCATGTTTTTCTAGTGGTGCCATACATTTATGTGCTGGCACATTCCTTATTACTAATATGTCCATATTGGCCTATTTGTTCGAGCACATAATTACAGCCTGAGAATATATACACTACAACAACAAAAGAATTGCTTGAGCCAAGATGCTTTGTGTAATGGTAATGTATTTTCTATCTAAAGGGTATATATTGCCCAACACCTTGATTTTAGAAGCTACCGTAGTGCTACAGAGGATATGTAACCTATACCTTGTTTTATTCATGTTATTTATTAGTTCAAAGTGTACATACCTCGATTCGTCAGATCCGTGGGAAAAGGTTCCCTTAAGAAAGGACAATCTCCTGAGCTCTACTTCCATATATACAGAGTCTGAAGGGTCACCTTTGAAAAGCAAGAAGAAATAGGTTCTATGGATCAGTGGTACACTGCATAACACCCAGAGTTCAATTATTTTTCTCTGCTGCCGCTCAAATTCAGAGGTCCAATCAGAATCAGGTGTCGTGGTACATTGCACTGTCCCTAGGTCAATATCGGTTATTATTTCTTTAGATTTGTTAATCTTAGATGCTGCTTCCGCCACCTATTAGACATAAGCAAACCATTGACAATGAATCATATATTAGAACTCAAATAATACAATAAGCTAATGCTAGCATAAGTTATTAGATCATATTGTATCTTTTTCAAGTAAACTTTAATGATACTCCTATTGAGTACATATGTAACACAGTCGACTCACGGTATACATAACTCATAACTCAAACTTATATTCTCATAAAAAAAGGATGAAAGTGTTCACCATTTAACTAGAAATAGCTAGTGTTCTATATTTTATTAGTTGAAGATAAAACTAATATTGTGCAAAATACAAGGCTGTTGAAAGTAAGTCCAGAGTTTGAAATCCATTTACAGAAATGAGACAGTGTTCCTATTAAAAAGGAACATTCCATAAAAATGATAACAATAAAAAAAGGTGCAGCTGAGGATAGTCTCATTTAAGAAATTTTACAATAAGGCCAAGTACCTCGTGCCTATTAACAATCTCAGTTTTCTCGATTCACTTTTCTCAGAAGCTGTGTGCTTTCTAGAAATCTTGACCCTAATATTACGTTGGCGCTAGAAAATGATCATACAAATTACTCAATATCTTCCTCGATTCTTTTTTGTTCATAGATAGCATGTGAGGTTCAACCAATATATAAGATGGGAAGAATAGAAAGAAATCAAAGCAAAAACTAGAAATGATAACCAATCAAGAGAAAAATTAAACAAATAAAAATTTATATATCATAACTAAAAGAAGAGAAATATGCTTGCTTCTCACCGAATCATCATCAGATTGCTTTTGTGACTCAAGTTTGGCCATTTCATTAACTCCAGCAACAGCACCATGGGTACCACAAGTATTTCCTACACCTAGTTCTTTGGTTATCTGAGTATTCTCTGGCTGTTTGCCCGTCTCGTTTTTTCCAGCAACAACATCAGAAACCTGACTTGCATTCTCTGACTTAAGTTTGGCTATTTCATTCAATGCAGCAACAAAGTCCTGCATAACACTGGAATTATCTGCATCTGATTCTTTGTTGCTATCTGCATCCACAGAAAAGGAACTAATCGTGCTCTCTGCTTCAGTGGAAGATATAGAAGTTTGAGAGGCTTTCCTTGATAAATGTCCCATGCTGGAAGCATATCTAAATTCAGACTGCTTCCGCGGAAAGCTCAAGGGCCTTGTGAAATCCTTTCCATACAAAACAGGAGTCCTGCTCTCTTTCTGTTCTTTCTCAGACCAAATAGCAGATGGGGCACTCACGAGAATCTCTCTGCAGCTTCTGCTTCTTGAAAAAGGCAAACCACCTGGACTAGGAAAACATGATTCAGGGGAAGGAGAGCTCTCTAGTGGGTGAAGACCAACAAGCAAATTGATAGTTTTTTGCAATTTCTGAACTTTTTCTTTCAATGCATCATAATCCATATTAATATGACTTGAATGCCTATCACCCGTCCGGGGGGATGAGACCGTTTCTTCAGATTTAGCCCATTTCATAGATAAATCATCTTTTTTCATCTCATAAGCAGATGAGAACATGTCAGCTTCTTCTTCTTCTCTTTTAAGACTTGGTGACTCCATTTCAATGAATTGATCTTGCTTGCCTATGTCCTTGGATTCTTCATCAGTCCTTCCAGCAGTCTCTTCCCAACCTGGACATGGTCCGGGCGCTACAAATTGAGGAGTGCTATCATCAGCCCGTACAACAATATTTTTGGATTCTTCGTCAGTCCTTACAGCAGTCTCTTCCCAACCTGGATATGGATCAGGCCCTACAAATTGAAGAGTGCTATCATCAGTCCGTACAGCAATATCTTTGGATTCTTGGTCAGTCCTTAGAGCACTCTCTTCCCAACCAGGACAAAGATTCGCCCCAACAAATTGAGGAATGCTATCATCAGCCCTTGCAGCAATATCTTTGGATTCTTCATCAGTTCTCGCAGCAAGATCTTTGGATTCTTCATCAGTTCTTGCAGCAATCTCTTCCCAACCTAGACATGGATCGGGCCCAACAAATTGAGGAGTGCTATCATCCAGCAAAAAATTCTCTTCGGGGTTATCAGAAAGCTCCAAATAATGCTTATCAGAGTTAGGCGCAATGGCCTCATGAAATTCCTTAGATAGGTTGCATGTCAGATAGGTTGCATCTACCGAATCTGTTACTGAATATTCATCCGTTTTAGATACTTGATCCTCACCAGCTGATTGTAGTAAAGTCTCAACCCGAGATTGAGCCAGATCACGTTGCCAGGTCAACTCTATGATCTGTTTTTCCATCTGCATTTTGTCATTTCAGGAATAGCAAGGTAAGCAAGGTCTGATATTTTGAGTAAAAAGGTATAGAAAAAGTCAAAATCTTTTTCTTCAGTTGTTTTTCTCTTTCTTTCTTTTCAATAGGTACATTCTGGGAAAGTTTAAATCCAAATGCAATTCCACTTGCACCATTTCACAACAGCAACCAGTTCTCATCCAATATCAAACAAACCAAAATTAAAAATCGAAAGAAAAACCTTTTTAATATTTACTAGTAGTCAACCATAATAAGTCTAGTCTTTGGCTGTGTCACAAGGGTAAGTGCATTTACCTACAATCTCAAAAAGAGTATGACAAATTTGGATCTCATTCATTTAAGTTTCATGCAATTGGCAACCGATTTAGCTTTTATGATGAAGAAACTCTAAGATCTAATTGATGATTGAATCTTATTAGTATATAGCTGTATCAAATATGTTCTTTTCCATTTAAAAGAAACGGGTTTCGCCTCCGTCACAAAGCAGATGGTGCTTTGATGTAATATCTTGTTAAAAGCTTATCCAGCTTACTCTGACGATACCAAAAAAGAACTTCCGGGGGAGGGAGATACCTTTTGTTTTTGAAGAAGAATAATAATGTATTTATGTTTTTCACATGACAAATAACTTAAACATCACCTTTTGTATAAGTTGTTCTTTCTCCGTAAGTAACATTGTTGTAGAATCTGCACTGGTAGAAGCAGATCCTAAGTTTCTCAACTCACTCTCCATTCTAGCCAGTTCTCTTTGCAGTTGCCTGACCAAAATCTTGTCTGACACCACAAAGTTTATTCGTGCGTTAGTAGACACCTCTTTGGCACAACTTGCGAAGAATAAGGTGTTTTTTGACTGCTCAACATGACTTCGAGCTGGGCTCATGGTACAAATTATAGCTGTTCTGGCATTGCCTCCTAGTGAATTTTGCAGTATACGGGTTAGCTTAGAGTCTCTGTAAGGTACATGGCCATTTCTTCCCTTGCTGTATCCGATGATGACCGTAAATGGGCAAGTAATAGTAAGTATTTTATGCTTAAGAGTAAAACTATTAAGAAATAACTAGAAGAAAGAGCTCCGCATAAAACAACAAAAACAATTTCAGATGTTAGGAAGCTAGCAGAAAGAAAACACTCGCTGACTGCTTGATGAAAATCAAGGTCAGTGGAGCGGGTCATACCATGAATTCTAGATTACGAAATATACACCTTTAGCTAAGGCATTCAGAAAGATTTGATGATCATTGCTATAAATAAAAGTTCTAAGTTGCACAGAGAAGACAATGACGACCACACCCTGTCTAAATCACACTTCATTGCCTTTAACGGTAGCAGAAATGATTTTTTCTTGGTTGAATGCTTGCAAACCATCGCCATTCAGTCAGAAAATTTTATTTGCACAGGTACCTTAATGGCTTAATGCAAGTAGAAACCTTAACAGTCTATCTTTAAGAATGGAAATTTTGTGGCTGCACTTGATCACCTTAATAGAATGCGGCTTGAATTCCTAGGACACGTTAATAGAGTGGGAGGTTGGTTGCAATCCAGCTATACTTGCTTAAGAGAAAAGCATTGTCAATTTCATACAAAAAGCAAACATATTCACATTCTGGAGCAGGTCATACCTTGAATTCTATATACCGGTATTTCATGCGTGGTGTGCATGTTCATGAGCTTCCTTTGTGAAGAGTTTTAAAAGAAAGAATTTCATATTCAAATTTGATATAAGAGTAGAAGAAAGCGATGGTCTAAAAGTAGATTTCTCTATCCATAGATATACATGAAGAAAACATGGAAAAAGATATGGATTTTTTTTTTTTGCAGCCATGTTATAAGAATTGGAAGGAAAATGCCGCGCAAACTTGTATCATGTTTGGATTCAAAAAATTATGTCATGTTTGTTTTTTTTTTTGTTCAGTTAGGCATACTATAAATTTCATCTAGGAAAATGCAAGTGATTTAGTACTATAGCAAATTACAATATTGTAATCTATTTAATGTTAAATTAATCAAAAACATATTTCCAGATATTTATTTACTAAACTTGATAGTAAAATGAGCACAACTCATTTCACGGATTTAAAAAGATAAAAAATTTCAAAGTAAACAGTGATACATTAGAAAACATATAAACGCCCTAACTTAACAAATTTTTAGCCGTCTGTTTAAAAGCAAGCTGAAACTTGTTACTACCCAGAATAAGAATTTCAACCAACCTTAATTTGCGAATCACAGTTCCAAGAGTTAATAAACTGCGATTTATGTGGCTGCCTTCTTTTAGTCTTGCACCAGCAGATAATGTTTGAGAAGCACGCTCGCTTCCAGCTAGATCAACAAAATTCTGTAAAATTGGACCAATGTTCATGTTTGTTGGCATTAGACAAAGAAGAGAAAAAAAAAATTGGAGTGGAAAATCATCTAAATTCTTCATTAACTGGCCTTAAAAATACATTAGAAAAGGTTTTAGTCTTACTGTCTACAACAGCAGATTTTTCTGCATAAAGAAATATATTTTGCTAACTTAAGCAATCTAAATTCTAAATTAATATTTTGTAAACAAGCTTATCCACTAATACATGTAATACAGAACTGATTAAAAAAACACACTTAAATTTGGACACAACTTATAATTTTAGCTGAACAGCAAAAATGAAACACTAAAGCTCCTTGACATTTTTACTGAAAGCACCAAGCATGAATCTTAATGTTGCAAACTTAAATCTTGATAGTCCCTTCATGAAAATTTTAGTCATTTGTTCATTGGACCTACAGGGCAGCAAGTTGACCTTCTCCTCTTTTTCAGTGTCCTTCACAAAATGGTAGTTGATCTTGATGTGTTTTGTTTTGTCATGAAACATTAGGTTCTTGCTACGGCATTTGCAGATTAATAATCACAAAAGATCATTGTAGCTTCCTTTTGCTTCTGATTCAAGTCAGCAAGAAACATCCTCATCCAAACAGCTCGATTGACACCAGTTGTGGCTGTAATATAATCTATCTCTGCAGTTGATTGAGCAACCTTTCTTGTTTGCTTGATGGAAGGCATACCCTTTCAACTTATCACTGTAGTTCCAAGACAAAAAACATAACCTGAACTACTCTTCATGTTATCAACTGAACTAGCTCAATCACTGTTTGTAAATCCAATTAACTTCACACCAGAAACCCTTCTATACCAAATGCCATAATTTACAATTTTATGTTGATACCTCAACAATCTCTTTCCAAATTTCTAAATGCAATTCGGTTGAACTTTGCATGAATATGGAAAGTAGTTGATGTAGGATAAAAAGAGTTTGAAGAGAAAACTTAGAGAAAATCTATTAAGAACCAAATTTGGAGATCTTGAATTTCGATAATCAAACAATATTTCAATGTTTGAATAATAATCATAAATAGTCTACCTAATAACTAAACTAGGTACCTTAATTGTGGGCACTAAATACATCAAAAATAGAAAATTTAAAAAACCTACTAAAATGGAAAAATAAATTAAATAGAAATAACTAGAGGAATAAAAAATCTAGAAAATAGAAAATATAAGAAATAGGAAAACAAATCATCCTATTTCCTTTATTGTAGAACTTTCCAAAACTTAGAAAAGGAAATCAAAACTTTCTAACCTTTTTAGTTAACTTCCCAAAAGGTTTATATTCTTTTATTGATTCTGTCTCATATTTCTATTATTGAAATATGTCTACTTTACGAGCTTCTTATTCTGCATCAGTAGTCTTGTGGCAAACATAACATCTTGTCTTGTTGCAGGCAAGTAGAGCAAATGATCAACTCAACATCCCCTACTTGTTGCACGTGCAAGGTAGTTGCTTGATCTTCTATTGCAGCAAGTGGTCATCAATTTTTGCATATCAGACTCTTTGAGTTTGTTTTAATTTAGCTAAAGCTTTCTATAGCAAATAAGCCATTCTCTTCTCCTTCAGAACCCAATGGCTATTCAACATAAATCTACTCCTTCAAGTAGTCACTTAAGAAGGCTGACTTAACACCAAGTTGATAGATCTTCCAATTCAGTTCTTTTGATTTCTAAGTTGATGATTAATCTCATTGTGCCATATCTTACTACTAGGGCAAAGGTGTCAATCAAATCAATGTTTGGTGCATCCTTTAACAGCCAATCTAGCATTCAATATGTTAAGTAAGCCATCAACATTCAACTTGGTCTTATCCATCCACTTGAGCCCTAAAACTTCTTGTTGACAAGTTTTGTGGATAGAACCCAAGTCTTTTTCTTCTTGATCATCTTTACTTCTTCCTCCATAGCGTCTGTCCATGCTAATGATTACAATGCTTCGTCAAAATTGGTTGGTTCCAATAGGGCAAAATTGCACCTATCATAAATGACTTGAAGAGTTTTTATACCTTTTACAGCACAATCAGAATATGTTTTAGTGTTCACACTTGATTCTCCTCCTCAGCAGACACTTCTTGATCTTTAATAACATCTTGGCAAAAACTTCTTGACTTTTAATAACATCTAGCAGTGCAAACTACTTTGTTGAAGCTTTAAGTTTTGCTCTTTCCCAATTCCAGTAAGCATTTTCCTCGACTTTGACGTTTTTTACCATAATCAACTTTTTTGTTTGATTGTTGAAGACTTTATACCCTTTAACAATGTTGTTAATGCCCCAAATTGGGGTTTTTTTATCCAACTTGTCTCTTTTAACTTTTGAAACAAGAATACAACAAATAATTCCAAAAGCCTCAACTGCTCTGTTGCTGGCTTCCTTCCTTGCAAAGCTTTATTCTGTATTTTACCATTTCAAGGCCTTTCTGGTAGCCTATTTTGAATGTGAATTGTTGTGTGTACAATTTCTACCAAAAATTCTTTGCTAATTTCTTCTCAAGCAACAAACATCTGGTCATCTTCATACTAATTCTATATTTTCTCACTCACCTCATTTTGTTGATGTGTGTAAGCAACATTAAGTAGGTGATGAATCTTAGTTTCATTCAAGAACTTGTTGAAGTTCTTATTGATGTACTCTTTACCATTATTTGATCTAATGTTTCTTATCTTCATTCCACTTTGATTTTCTACTATATGTTGAAGACTTGACACCCCAAAGCTTTAGATTTCTATTTCAAAAAATACACCTAACATATACTTGAGTAAGCATTAATAAATATTGGAAAATACTTACTTCCGCTCAAGAACAAGTGCTAATTGATCCACATAAATCAGTGTATGGTAACTGCAGTTTTCTGTAGCTCTCTAGGCTGCCCTTTTTTGGAAAAATTAATTTCTTTTGCTTTCCAAATTCACACACTTCACAAACTCCATTTCTACTACACTCTCTTCTAACTAGGACTTTAAGGATCTACTGGTTGTACTATCAAATCTCCTATGTCAAAGCAGAGAATTATTTTCCATGCGTAAGTGACTTGTACCACAATAAAGTTAAGCTCCTGTTCTTTTTCTTGACAGACATGATCTCACAACCATTGACGAAATTAATGATGCATGATTTGTCCTTAAAAGAAAACAAATATTTTTTCTTAAGCATTTGTCTTACACTAAGTAAATTGTTTTTGTCTAATCTACCAAAAACAACACATTAGAGATTTGTTTTGTACTTGAATATGTCATTATTGTAGTATTTCCCTTTTCTTGAACCTCCAAATACTCCCCACTTCTTATTCTGACCTTTCACAACTTTTGGCTTTAATTCACCTTGTTCTCCTTTGTTCTTGCAAACTTTCTTCACATGCTCGAACCTTTTAAATGCTATGAACTAGATTCCAGGCTTATACAATATTTCTCACGATGGCTGGTCCTTCTGCAATTAGAACATGATAGGTAGCTGCCTTTCTTGTTACCTTCTCTATTCCTGTTGCGTTCTTGCTTTTTCTTGTTGCAACTTCCTTTTCTACCATTGTTTCCTTGAGGTTTTCATTTGTTCTTCATCACAAAAGCACTTTTTGTTACATGATTCATTCTTAAGGATTTCCTCAGCTCAGTAGCTTGGAGAGTATCACAAGTTCAGTTGGTGTTATTGTTGAAAATCCTTAGAATCTTCAAGAGAAGATAAATTTGCTTTAAACCTTTCCTTGAAGACTCACAAAGACCTTCTACACCACCCTCTTGTCAGTGAGCTCTTTGCCCAATATTCTTACTTGATGCACAACCTTTGTGACTGTATATGTGAAGACTTTTGTATTTCCTGAATCTCCCATTCTAAGAACCTCAAATTTTCTTCTTAGGTTAAGTACCTGTATTTGCTTGGAATTTCTCCTTAATTCTATATCAAGCTGCTTTTTCAGTTTAACAAGACATAATCCTAGAAAGATATCTCAGGCAGAACTGAGTGTAAAAGAGAGAGCCTTGAATTTCTTTGTTGTCTCTTTTGCATGATGCTTCATTTGAGCAACCATCAGTTTGCTCTCAGGAGAAGAGGTTCTTCACCAACATCCACAGCTTGTCAATGATATATTCCTTTTGATTTGCCATCCATTCTAACAGCCCACAACTGGTAATTTTCGTCACTGAAGATAGAAGGTAAGAAATAGATTGAACTACCAGAGGCCATTTCAGTTCTGTGAGGTAGTTTTTTAGTTTTTGCAGCTAATTTTTCTTCTTTCATGGTCTCGTTTGTAAGAGCTATAAGACTCTAGCATTATTTGGGCAAAGAAGAAGAGAAGAAGAATTTTGGAGGGAAGAAAAATTTTTGGGGAAAAAAAAAATCTGAATTTTTCACTAACCAGCCTTAAAAGTACATACAAAAGGTCTTAATCTTACTCTATGGTAGCAGGTTTTCCATAAAAGAAACATGCTCTACTAACTTAATCAATTAGAGTCTACATTTTACATTTCCTAAACAAGCTTATCCACTAATTCAAGTAACATATGACTAAAACCATAAAGATAAAACATTTAAACTTGGACATAAACTTGCAACTCTAGCTGGATAGTAAAAATGCCAAACGCTAACAATGTTCAAGATCAAACATTATTCAACCTTAAGCTTTCAGAGAAAAGGCCATTTTATTAATTTCTAATTTTAAAGAAAATAGTTTATACTATACCACAGCAGCTGCAAGAGAGCTTGAATTTTCAGCTCCATATTCACGGGCAGAACTTTCAACAGTCTGGAGAAATCCATTATTAAATTCAAGAAGTAAGAATAATTCCTTGCCTTAAACATGGAAATACTACCAATTGAATGAGTAGCATACCAGTCGAAGAATTTGATGAGACCTGGAGCTAGTTTCATTTAGAGAGGTCTCTCCTATTTGCCTTTGAGCTGCAAAGTGCAACAAAAAACTTAAGATATGATATTACCCAATATAAAAAAAACAAGGTATAATATCATGAGTTAATATACCTTCACATATTGAAAGGAGCTCCTCTAGATGGTTCTGGTCTCTCAGAATCTCCTCTGTGAGTCTCTCAACAACAGTTCCTCTCTGTAAAAAATTAATCATTGGTGACGTTAAAATTTATCAAACAAAGTTACTTAAGGAACAAATATATTCCAAATAAAAAGAAGCAGTGTGTCCACCTCTGGATCATCTAGGAGTCTTAGGGGAGTACTATCGGAGCTGAGGAGGTCTCTAACAGCTTCATTATAGATCTCTATGGCTGAGAATTTAAGAACAAATTCTCTGTCTTTACACTAGAAGATAAGAGTAAAAGAATATATCAAGTGCATGCCACACCCCAAGGATCATAACTGAAAAATAAAGTACTCGAAATGGAAAATGTGTTTTACCCTATCTATGTACTGGAAGATATCTGCTATTGCATATTCAGTGACTCCACTCATCGTGTATGTCTTACCACTGCTAGTCTGGCCGTATGCAAATATGCTTGCTGGAGATGTTTGATAATAAGGAATGATTCAACTAATCTTGAATCATAGAATATGATGAAAACAAAACAATAAAGGAAATTTTGCTCACAGTTAATGCCACTGAGTGCAGAAAGAGCAACATCCTTGGCTCCTTGCTCATATACCTGCTTCGTGGGGCAGTCCCAACCAAATACTCTGTCTATCCCCATTAAATTGATCAAAATAAAACAAGGGGCCAGGAGTTAGAGTGGAAGCAGAAAAATGCATTAATGAAGTTGATATAAACTGGGAAATAAGTTGGCAGATATTTCCCCAGGAAAGATTGTAATTACATATGAAATTAGAAAAGAAAAAGAAGTTGCTGGTGGTTCGCTGTATATAGCAAATTCAATTATCCACCAATAATCCGTGAAATTTGAAATTGAAAGTGAAAATATAAATCCAGGTGAAGAAATAGATTAGTGATAGATGAAGAAATGGAAAAGACATACCAAACGTGTAGGCGGAGGGTAACATAGACCTCTCTGGTAAGCCGTGTCTACAAACAATGGTGGTGTTGTTAATGCATTCCCAGTCCGAGATATCGTTCCTGGTGGTTTCTTTGTCATTCAAAGGCCTCAATCTCACTGAAACAAGAATGTTCTCGTCCTGACCACCCGTTCCCTCAGTTTCCCCGCGCATGACTTCCTCCGTTCCCGTACTTATCACCCCTTCCTCTTGTTTCTGAGAGCTTAATTTTCTGAGAAAGAGAAGAGAGAGAAATTTGAGAAATCAAAGAAACTTGTAAGTGTTGTTCGTTGAATATGCAGGCAGATGTAAGATGTATACCTGGTCATATTATGGTTGTGAAATTATCCTTCCATCATCTGCAAAGTTGGTGGAATGGTGAATCGATTGAGAATGAATGTGAATGTAGAAAGCAAAAATGAAGAGAAAAGAAGAAGAAATTAGGGGTGGGGTGGGGTGCGGTTGGTCTCTCCCTCGTCCTCGGGAGGGTTTTGGAAGAGGGAAAGGGGGAGAAGCAGAATGGTATTTGGCTATCCTGTATACATTCATCATTCTGTTTCCACTCTGGTTGGCTTTGCCTCCCTCCACCCTTGAATCATAACGGCCATAGCCTAATTATATTAACCGTCTATCTTATCCTACTCAGCTCATATATCATATTATTATGGTATTCATGTTGGAGTTGAGTAATATAAAACTGGTTATTTAAATTTTCAATTCAAATAATAATGAATTAAAATTTTGACCCGGTCATAATCTTTGGGAAATCTAATTAATTAGTTTTTGTTTTTTTAAAAAAAATTAAAGAATTAAAAAATAAAAAAATTTATTATTATTTTTAGTTTAGATGGGATTTTTTTATTGCATGAGATTTATCACTATTCAAGGGTGCTATAAAAAAAAATTATAATGATCAAATTTAAGAAGAAATAAGATTATAATAAAATTTTAACAATATGACTAAAATATAATTTATAAAATTTTATAGTCAAATAATTAATATAACAACTATATCATTAAAAGTCATTGTACATTCATGTAATTCGATATTATGATATTTGTGTTGGTATTTTTGTTATAAGAATAAGTATCATTCTTGCATAAATTACATGTCAAAGTGAGAGTCTAAATATGATGGTAATGTACAATTTATTTTTTAAAATTTAATTTCGTTATAATTAACTTATACAAAAAGAATGAATTATACTTTAATACTAACAAATTAAAATTATTTTTATGTATTTTCATCAAACTAATATTTATTTATGAATCAAACTATGTAGAGTTAATTAGTATCTAATATGATCCATCACTATGAATATAACAATAATAATATTTTGCGATTATGTATAATAAATAATTTTAAAAATTTGTAGCCTGATAATAAAAAAAAAATTCTCTTAATAACGTTGACTTAAATGTTACTAAATTATATATAATAATTATTATATTTTAATAATATTCACACCTAAAATCTTTTTCCTAAAATCTTCAAACTCTATCTTCTGGCTTCACTTCAAAAGCCTATTATCAACGGCTTGTTTTGACTTGGTCTATGCTTGTGTTATAGTTGGTAGAAATATTTTGAAAACAACTATAAGATAAAACTAGCTATAAAAGTGCTCTCAATCTAAAAATGTTGAAAGAATAAAAAAATTATTATTGTAATTATTCAAATAATATATTACTAAATCATATATAATAATTATTATATTTTAATAATATTTGGTAATGTATAATTTATTTTTTTAAATTTAGTTCCGCTATACTAAATCATATATAATAATTATTATATTTTAATAATATTCAGTAATGTATAATTTATTTTTTAAACTTAGTTTCGCTATAATTAACTTACACGAAAAGAATGAAGTATATTTTAATATTAACAAGTTAGAGTTACTTTTATGTATTTTCATCAAACTAATATTTATTTATGAATCAAACTATATAGAATTAATTGGTATCTAATATAATCTGTAGCTCTAAATATAAAAATAATAATATATTATGATTATGTATAATAGATCATTTTAAAAATTTATAGTCTGATAATAAAAAAGAAAGAAATTTTTCTTAATAAGGTTGACCTAAATGTTACTAAATCATATATAATAATTATTATATTTTAATAGTATTTGGTAATGTATAATTTATTTTTTTAAACTTAGTTCCGCTATAATTAACTTACACGAAAAGAATAAATTATACTTTAATACTAACAAGTTAGAGTTACTTTTATGTATTTTCATCAAACTAATGTTTATTTATGAATCAAACTATATAGAATTAATTGGTATCTAATATGATCAATCGCTCTGAATATAAAAATAATAATATCTTATGATTATGTATAATAGATAATTTTAAAAATTTATAGTCTGATAATAAAAAAGAAAGAAGTTTTTCTTAATAAGGTTGACCTAAATATTACTAAATCATATATAATAATTATTATATTTTAATAATATTTGATAATGTATAATTTATTTTTTTAAACTTAGTTCCGTTATAATTAACTTACACGAAAAAAATGAATTATACTTTAATATTAACAAGTTATAGTTACTTTTATGTATTTTCATCAAACTAATATTTATTTATGAATCAAACTATATAGAATTAATTAGTATCTAATATGATCTATCGCTCTGAATATAAAAATAATAATATTTTATGATTATGTATAATAGATAATTTTAAAAATTTATAGTCCGATAATAAAAAAGAAAGAAGTTTTTCTTAATAAGGTTGACCTAAGTGTTACTAAATTATATATAATAATTATTATATTTTAATAATATTTGGTAATGTATAATTTATTTTTTAAAATTTAATTCCGCTATAATTAACTTACACGAAAAAAATGAATTATACTTTAATACTAACAAGTTAGAGTTACAAATATGTATTTTCATCAAACTAATATTTATTTATAAATCAAACTATATAGAATTAATTGGTATTTAATATGATCAATCGCTCTGAATATAAAAATAATAATATCTTATGATTATGTATAATAAATAATTTTAAAAATTTATAGTCTGATAATAAAAAAAAAGAAATTTTTCTTAATAAGGTTGACCTAAATGTTACTAAATCATATATAATAATTATTATATTTTAATAATGGTAATGTATAATTTATTTTTTTAAACTTAGTTCCGCTATAATTAACTTACACGAAAAGAATGAATTATACTTTAATACTAACAAGTTAGAGTTACTTTTATGTATTTTCATCAAACTAATATTTATTTATGAATTAAACTATATAGAATTAATTAATATATAATATGATCCATCGCTCTGAATATAAAAATAATAATATCTTATGATTATGTATAATAAATAATTTTAAAAATTTATAGTCTGATAATAAAAAAAAGAATTTTTTCTTAATAAGGTTGACCTAAATGTTACTAAATCATATATAATAATTATTATATTTTAATAATATTCACACCTAAAATCTTTTTCCTGAAAACCTTAAATTTTTAGAAATCTTCAAACTCTGTCTTCTGGCTTCACTTCAAAAGCCTACTATCAATGGCTTGTTTTGACTTGGTCTATGCTTGTGTTATAGTTGGTAGAAATATTTTAAAAACAACTATAAGATAAAACTAGCTATAAAGGTGCTCTCAATCTAAAATGTTGGTTAATTATATTATAAATTAACAATAAATGTTGAAAGGATAAGAAAATTATTATTGTAATTATTCAAAATTATTCTAAAATTTAAATTATCTAAATTAAATTGTTATATTATTTTATTCAATATAAATATAACTTTAAATAATTAATGTTTAGTTAATATTTAATATACAATTAAGAAATATACTTATCAAAAACATCATTCATATCTTATAACACAGTAATTTCTCAAATATCTCTTTTGTAGCTTTTGATTTCTACGTGAATAAACTTAGGTTTAGCGCAAGTAAGAAATTTTTAGGCATGTCTTTCGGCCAATTGCATAGAGATATGAAGTGGCTTCCTAATGCAATAATCTTGTTTTAGGTTGTTAAATTGCAAATGTTAATGAAGACATTTCTTTTATCATGTGTCGCTTAATAATTTATTTTATTATTTCGTGATAAAAGATTTATAAAAATATTGAGAGAAAACTCGGTTTGAGATGGAGATCACAAAAATGGTGAATCAAGCTTTTATTTCCTTAAATTTTTATAAAATGTTTGTAATTTTGATACCATAAACTTGAAATCTTTATGAATCTAATTTAGACTGGTATACATTATACTTATTTAAAAGTAATATCATTGGCGTTTTTAATTATTTGTAAATTTGATTAAAAAAAAAGTAAGAATATATGTGTTTATCGGAAAAGAAATTTTTTTAAATAATAAAATATCTATTATGACATTTCGAAGATTATTTTTTATATTCGAAATGATTATTATTGTATCATAAAAAGATATTTATTAAAAATAACTTGTGATCCATACATAAATGAGTATTATTGTGGGATCATGTGTGTTGGATGGATAGATTAAGAGTAGGAAAATACAAAATCAAAGAAATATTTTTTTATAAAGTATTTAATTAATTGTTGCGTAAAATATTATGTTGGCAAGTGATAAATATTTAAAACTTTATTAATTAAGTACAAAATATTTAATACATCTAAAAAATTGTGAAAAAAATTTGAGTCTGACCTTATATACTAATATTATTATATTTATTTGAAAAAATTTTATGATAATATGATATAATTAAAAATTAAAAAGAATTTAATAATTTAAAATAGATACGAAAGCATTTAAAGAGAGATTAATATTATCACGGTTTCGTTAAATACAAAGATTTTGGGCTATTATTAATTATTATGAAAATATTTTTTTATTGCTAATGATAATTTAACTATACACCAATCATAAATCACTTTTTGTAAACAACAAAAAAAAAAAAAAAAAAAAAACTATGAAAATGACACCAAAAAAAGACTCTTCACATATCCAACATCTTTTTTACTTTAGTTGGATCTCATTTATTTTTATGTAAAAATAACTAAATTGGGATTTAAAAACTTTTAACAATTTCTGAAAAAGAAAAAATTATCAAAATTATATATTAAAAAAAATAATTTAGGAAATACTAAACTGGGCATATGAAATTAAAATGTTAAACATAAACCTAAATTAAGGCATAATTTTCACAATTACCCCAAAATTGATGCATAATTTTAGTTAATTTCATTATCAATCAACGCCTCTCTTTTTGGTCCCTCTCCCTCCTCCTTCCTTTCTCCACTAGTACCGTGATACATCTCTCGCCGTCTTCCCTTATCCACCTTCCATACCCTAGGCCTACCCAACACCCTCAATGGCCACCAGAGGGACCAGATCAGAGAAGGTCAAGAGAATTTTCCAACAATTCGATGCAAACCGGACGGTGGCCTCAACAGAGACGAGATGGCGGCACTCGTTGTCGCTGTCAACCCTAGGGTCAAATTCAGCGACGAGCAGATCAATGCGATCCTCGACGAAGTCTTCCGTACATACGGCGAGTTCATAGATGGCGAGAAGGGCTTGACCTATGACGGTCTTCTGCGTACATACGACGACGGTGCCGGGGACGTGGACAGAGATTTTGACGCGCTTGGTCTTGAGCTCACCTTCGAAGAAAATAAAGGGACTTCCGTTGCATCTGAGCCGTCGTCGTCTTCTATTGTCGACGAGAAGACAATCGAGTCACAGAAGAAGCAGAGGACCGCGGCGTGGGCGGTGTCGCCTAATCACGGCATCGTTTTTGATGAGACGTGGAAGATTGTTGATGATTTGGAGATTCTGGTGAAGAGATTGAAAGCGAAGCAGGCTAAGGATGGGAAATTGAAAGGGGATAATTTTGATGCCTATTCGGATGCCGGTTGGTCGAGAGAGTTGGGGCCATCGACAGAAATCTCTGACAAAAGGATATTCTGGGAAGAGTCCGGCCATGATTACGCGATCTTCGTGAAGGAGTTGGCTGTTTTGAGGAGCAGGGCCGACGGGGCAAGATCCAGAGAGGAGGCGTTTGATGGGCATATGGCGATTGGTAGAGTTCTGTACGAACACCAGTTGTTTAAAGAGGCTTTGGTTAGTTTTAAGAGAGCTTGCGAGTTGCAGCCGATGGATGTGAGGCCCCATTTCAGAGCTGGGAACTGCTTGTATGTTGTCGGTAAGTTCAAGGAGGCTAAGGAGGAGTTCTTGTTAGCGTTGGAGGCGGCTGAGTCGGGTGGAAATCAATGGGCTTACTTGCTTCCTCAGATTTATGTGAACCTTGGAATTGCGCTTGAAGGCGAAGGTATGGTCTTAAGTGCTTGTGAGTATTATAGGGAAGCTGCAATTCTTTGTCCTACTCATTTTAGAGCTTTGAAACTATTGGGAAGTGCTCTCTTTGGGGTAGGGGAATATAGAGCCGCCGTCAAAGCTTTAGAAGAAGCTATTTTTATGAAACCAGATTATGCCGATGCGCATTGTGACTTGGCATCGGCTTTGCATGCCATGGGTGAGGATGAGAGAGCAATTGAAGTTTTCCAGAAAGCTATTGACTTGAAACCCGGTCATGTTGATGCATTGTATAATTTGGGTGGGCTTTATATGGACTTAGGTAGGTTTCAGAGAGCTTCTGAGATGTATACTCGGGTTTTGGCAGTATGGCCTAACCATTGGCGAGCACAGCTGAACAAGGCTGTGTCCTTGTTGGGTGCTGGGGAAACCGAAGAGGCTAGAAAGGCTTTGAAGGAAGCACTGAAGATGACAAATAGAGTAGAATTGCATGATGCAATATCTCACCTGAAACACTCTCAGAAGAAAAAGGCAAAGACTAACGGGAATGGCAATAGAGAGGGGGGGGCTTTTCTCGTTGTTGAGCCCTCCAAGTTTAAGACCGTCGGTGAGAGAACTACAGTAAGACAGGACTTGGCCAATGCACTTCAAATTAGGGCTTTTCAGAGAATTACCAGAGTGGGTCGATGTGATGTGGAGCTCCTGAAGAAGGAAATGAGAGAAAATGATGTTCCAGTTTCCTATTCTGGTGGCGGTGAACCTCAGAAATCTATACGCAAGCCTAACTTAGAGGAAATTCTCCGCAGGCTGCTTAATTCCCTGAAGCCTGAAACTTTCCAGGGAGCTGTCAAAGCCATAAATGAGAAAGTTCTCTCTGTGTTGGATGAAACAGGTTCAGGTAGGGTGGATTTAGGCATGTTTTATGCTGTCCTTGCCCCAATTTGCAGTGGCCATCCAGACAAGAGAAAGCAGGTAGCCTTTGATGCGCTTTTGTGGCGTCCAGTGAATGAAGATGGTTCTCAGATTAAAAAGGTCGATGCTGTTAAGTATATCAAATTCTTAAGAACCATTTATATTCCTACTCATGGAGCTAGTGAAATGATGGAAATTCATGGAGACGTGGATACATCAATGGTGTCCTTCAATGACTTTCTAGTCATGTTTGATGATCCTGATTGGGGTTTTGGTATCATGTCCACTCTACTGAAACTGGAAACAGGAGATCGTAACCGCCATGGACGCCATGCCTGCTCCGTTTGCCGTTACCCAATAATTGGGTCTCGTTTCAAGGAGATGAAGTGTCGTTTCAGTCTGTGTAATCAATGCTACAGCGAAGGGAAAGTGCCTCCTCCATTCATGCAGGAGGAGTACAAATTCAAAGAGTATGGGAGTGAAGGAGAAGCAATGAAAGATAAATGCACGTGCTTGACACTGCAACCCCATAATGGAGCGTAGCTAGTTCATATAGATTTTTGCTTTCTTTCTTTTCTTGGGTGGTTCTGTGTATTATGACAGCAGCAGGTTGTTTTAGTTGATGAGTGTGATATAGAAGATGCAGATGTTAAGTGGGTATTCTTCCCTTGTATAATAAACGGAGGAGTTTTTCTTTCTTTCTTTCTTTCTTTGTGTTTATTTTTTCTTTTGTAATTTTCAATTTCCCACAATGGTTATTGTAGAAAAAGAAATTCATTCCTAATTTGGTAATACCAGAGGGTGTATATTAACTGTATCTTATTTGGGTTCTGGTCTCCATGGAGCACAAGGAGTTTGAAAATCTTAATGGAGGAATAGTGTTGGGTTTTTATTTATATTCAACTGGTTTACAGTCTGGTTTGTCATTTATGCAATAGCATATTACCATGTTCAATTCCAGCTCTCTTCTGGTGATAGGGTATCCAAATATCTCTTATAAAATTTCTATTATTCGTTAACAAAATACTAAATTTAATCATTATTGTAATGATGATCTCAATTTCTTCACTCCTTTTTTATTGAACTTTCGAAATAAAAACTTAAATGGGTTGTTATTTTATTAATCAAAGTAAAAAAGAAATGGTGTATTCTAAAAATAAACTGTTTAAATAAATCAACATACACAAGTGAAAGTATTTTAATAGTTTATAACTAGTTCTAAATTGAGATGGGAGTCAACAAATTCATGTTGGGAAGTGCTGTCAATGATTGATTGATGGAGTTTGATTTGTAATTTGACGAGAAAGGTGATTGAGCACAAATTAAGCTTAGAAAGCGTACTCGTGGGACTGCTGCTTCATAATGCCTAACAACTACTCTGTATGTATATATATATAAATTATATTATTGACTGAAAATCATTGCCAACTATGCTTGCTTTTACTCGTCAAAGTAAGAGGAGATTTTATTTTTGAAGGACAAAAAGTCATGAAGCCATCAAAAAATTTAAGAGAAAGAAAGTCATAAAATGATTATTGAGAGATAATATGAAATGTTTGGTGAGGTCAGGTATGAGTGAAGTTCAGGCTTTACACATTTTATTTGTTAAGAAAAAAAAGTCAACTACTAGCACTTAAAAATATCTTCTCAAAAAACAGAGCAGCAGAATCATGGTGTAAAATATGTTTGTTTTATATTCTGAACAAACTATTCGGTATATATTTAAATTTATTTAAGTTTCTAAAATTAGACCAAAAGAAATAAAATATTTATAAGATAATATAGATTTTGGGTAAATTCATTCAAGTCTTTAAAATTAAACCAGCTCTTCCATTTGAGTGACAAGCCGTAATTGATTAGAAGAAAACAAAGCTGTTGCCCGGACCCACAAATCAAAGGTTTATGGAAATACATGCAAAAATCATGTCCCTCCATTTCATTGCGTGTGAGAGTGAGCCCAATAAATAAAACACAGAGAAGCCGTTTGGTTGCCACAGAAGAAGCATGGTAAACCTAAGTAAGAGGTGTTTTGTGCATATTTTTTGTGTGACAATGTTGATTATGATATGGCTGATGCCCTTACTACAGCTAAAGAATCATTATCGCTACCCCCATCGTTACCAGCACTCGAGGATAAGGACGAGCAAAAGTACCAGCTTCAACCATCATTCCGAGCTGATTACAGTATATGGAATCCGACACCCATCTGTGGTGGAGGCTATGCTGCTCCAGTTCCCCACAGATTATAAACTCAACTTTACTGTCTATTCACTCTCTTTATCTATAGCCTGTGTAATAAACAACCATAAACCTATCTACTCCTTTTTTTCCTGTCGAGAAATCAGATTAACCATGTTCTTTTGTGCTGTAGAGAAATCAGAAGTTTAGAGGGTTGAAACATAAACATCATCAGAATTTGAATTGAGCATTATATTTATTTTCGTATTGTTTTCTCTTCCATACTTAAAGATGATCAAGGTAAGACTTCCAATTGAAAATCTGAGAATTGCCTATCTTCTACAACTTGTTTCTTGCCCTTGTCAAATTTTGTGCCAAAGTAATCCAACAAAAACTTCAATAGAAAGGATCAGTCCGTCACAGTTATTTTAGATGAACAGAGGAAGGCCCAGATATAGCAGCAACTCTCTGAGCGCGTCTTGCTGCTTCCTTGTACAGCCCACTCGTTTCCTTTCTCATTTGTAGTGCTTCACGGCGTTTCTCCTTTACGGCAGCCTGCATCCAAATTAACATCATATCCTCTGAAGTATCAACAATTAAAAGTCAGTATCTCAAAACATCCAGCACACATATAAGCAAGCCAGTATTGTTTATTTCTTCTGGAAGGCTGTCATCACAATGCAATCTGGCCGAAAGATATTTTTTGAAAATAGGCAGAGAATCATCAATTAATGGCAATAGCCTGTACACACACATGCGCACAAACACAAGCATAAGCACACAAAAGCATCAGAAGCAATAAAGAGATACCTTTCGCTCTTTCTTTTCATCTTTTGACTCACGTCCATGTTGCTTCCTCTTTGGCAGTTCAATTTTTGAGCTGCACGCATCCTTTAATTTTTCTTTATCAGTCTTTCTACAAGGCAAAAAATCTACCGGAAGCTTTTCCTTTCCTCTAAGGGATATTATGTTGCTGTTGAAATGCAACGATCCAGAGACAGTTTCCGCCAGCTTCTTTTTCATGGCTATTCCTGGAGCTTCAATTTTTCCAGGATGATTGTCAAGATTTGAATATGTAGAAACAATGGTCTCGCAATCCCATCCTCCAGACTCATCACTACTTTCCTTAACAACCACCATTTCATCTTCATCTTCATTTTCATTTTCATACTTCTCAGCATATTCCACACAACGGCGAAAAACATCAGCAGCAGATTCTAGTAACTCTTTGTCTTTTGCTTTCTCATTTTTATGCAATAACTCTGCAAGAACCACATATTTTTCACCAAGTTCGGGATCATCTACCACACAGTCACTAAGGACATTCTTGAGCTTCTCTGCAAGAGATTCTTCTTCTTCTTCTTCTTCTTCAGCTATGTAATCATTGCAATCATCATCACTAGTGGAGCCATATTCTTGAAGTTGAAGCTGCAACGGGAGTATGAAGTTTATACAAGAAGTACATACACATGCACACATGTAGAGATATATTTCAAAACGCATAGGCACAGGAAAAGCTAGAAAACAACTCTATAGTTTCCGGCAGACAATAGATAATGTGTTTCTTTTCACCAAATCCAGACAATACATGATCTAGAAGGAAGTCCGTTAACATTTGTTTTGAGAATAAGGAATTTGGTTAAACATAGATGAGGCACTACAATTTTTGCAGAAAATAAATGACAAAAAAGATACACTGGCATTTGATGCAGTTGATAGCATATATGACAGTCAGATGAACTGTTACAAATTTGCATACAAGTACATCCCCAAAATTCTAGGTCTAATCAGATAAGAATAAGCACAAACTCATGTCTTTATGCAGCCTGTTTATGGTACAGGCACAAATAATCACTTCAACATAGAGGCCAATACAAAATAGGGTACAGCAACCTTCTTTCGGTGTCATGCTCCAGTCAATATGACCAGTGAGTCCACGTATAAAAAATGATCATCAGAAAATCGACAATTCCTAAAAACAACAAATTACCATATTATGGTGCCCTTATATTATGATAGCCAATTCCATAAATGGGCGGCTCATGATGAAAATAGGATGATCCTTCAAGACATAAAACAAGGAAGACAAAATGTTAAATCTGGGATAGATACAGACAAAAGTCTCACCAAATCAAATTGCTCATCCAAAAGACGATGAACTCTCGTTTTCTCGCCAGTAAAATAATCTCCTGCTCTCACGGATTCTTTTCTTTCTTCATCCAAATCACCAAAGCTGACGACATTGTCATGATGATTAAAAGTAGGATAGTCTCCTTTATTGCTTGCCTCAAGTTCCTCAACAAAAGCTAGCTTGTTCCTTATATCTAAATCATTCCCCTTTTCTTCCAGAAGATTTGCTTGAACAACAAAGTCCTCTTCCAGTTCCTCAACATCAGAATTAAACCTGGACAAATCACTATCATCAAGTAATGCAGTCACATCAGGATCAACAGCTTTCTGCACCCTTACGTTAATGGTTCTGGAGGCTACAGCATAAATAGATTTTTCACAAGGATCACATTCCGCTTGAGAAATCTTCAGTCTAGAGGCATCATAAGCCTGAAAACAAAACACAAGAAAATATTTTTTGTAGACATGGTTCACACAAGCAACGCATGAAAATGACTAATTCAATTTGTTAACATGCTGTACTTTTCAGACAAATGAAAAATGATGGACATGGAAAGCTGAGAACTAATCTTTTTTTTTTCCTTTCAGTTTCCTTTTTGCTTCCACTTTCTACTCAACCAAATCGAGCACTATTCTCTCAGAAGAACAGAGTAAAAAAAAAGAGAAGAAAACAAACCAACCTTAACATCATGGGGAAGCTGATCAAGCCTTGCCTTAAGATTATGATAAAAAGCTGAACCCCCACCAGTATTTTTAATCTCTCTCAAGTGAACCAGATAATTATAACCATCATCAGGAAACCCTAAGTCCAAAATCTCTCTCCTCGCATACTCCGGCAGTGCTGTTCCACTCGTGGCCCCACCAGTTCCACCTTGACATGCCATTGGAATCCCAAAAACCTGATCATCATCATCTCCGCCATCATTATCTTCATGTGCATCAGAGAATATTGAACTGGGATCATCATGCTCTTGGCAGCTCCCTCTGTGGCAGCTATCAACGTCAAAGAATCTGTTCACTGAGTAGGTACCGTTGTCGACTCGAACAAAGACACGGTCACTGCCAGGTGAGTCATTGTAATTGGGATCAGATGAGTCCCGGGCGAGTAACTGGAAAGTTGCAGCTTTTTTCTTGTTGATGAATTTCTTCTTGCCCATATTTTGATTTCAGCGATTAGCTTCAGAGTTAATAGACTTTGATTGAGAGATTGATGATGAAGACATCAAATGGGAAAAACAGCAAATGACAACCGAATATATGAAGAAGCAAATCAAAAGATCATTTGATACTACATTCATTCTGAATCAAAGAAATAATAATGGCAATACTAGCAAGTGTGCATGAACAGATTTGCTATCCTTCCATTCAAGTGTTATGTCTATAATGTACTTATCCTATGTTTTACTCCAAAGCAACAATGTTTATTTAGGGGGGAAAAGAAGTGGCAAGAAAACTAACATACAATAGCCTAGCAATTAAAGACAAACACACACGGTGAACCAAAACAAGAGAGTAAATGAAACACCACAACCAGCCTTTACGTCATAAAAAAAACAAGCCTAAGTAATCCCTGATTTTCATGGTCTGCATCCTCTCCTTAACACTCAAACAAAAAATATGTTCATATGCCCGAACTACCACAAGGATCACATTACTGTCCTATGCATAATAATTAAAGATGTAAAAAGACCCAACCGGGTGAATAGGGAATATTTAATGCTCTTTAATTTTTTGCTACATTTATTGTGTGAGATGTTGGGAATTTATACACATGCAAGAGAGTAAAAGAAAAGAGGAGGAAGGTGGTCTCTGGAATCGTCTGAGACCACCAGCTGTCCCCAACTTTTAAACAGAAAAAAATCAAAACCCTTCATTTTAGGATTTTGATCTGGGCGGTCCACCTGTCCATTTTCTCTCAGCCTTTTACTTAATTCTTTCCACCCGCTCCTCAAGATGAAGCCAGTTTACTTTCGGCTCTTCGAGTTCCTTACCACCACTTCTTTAACCCTTTATACTTTCTTGTTGCAGGCGCTTCATCTTGAACATAAGTCGATGATGTGCTGAGGTTCCTAAAGGTTTCGTGAGCAGATCGGCGAGCTGTTCTCTCGAGGTGACGTGTTTCGTTTCGACAAAACTCTTTTGAACCTGGTTGCGAACTATGTGACAATCGATGTCAAGGTGTTTCGTTCGTTCATGAAAGACTGGATTTGTTTCGATATGCTCGGTGGCTTTGTTGTCGCAGTTCAATATTACGAGTACGTGAGGTACTATTTGAAAATCTTGAAGAAAATAGGTTATCCACAGAACTTCACTTACTGCGGATGACATACTTCTGTACTCAGCTTCTGCGGAAGACTTACTCACCGTAGTTTGTTTCTTTATTTTCCAGGAGATTAGCACAAGTCCGAGGAAGAGACAGAAGCCCGTGAGGGATTTGCGGGTCATCGGACACGATGCCAAGTACGAGTCACAAAAAGCTTGAACTTTAAAGTTATTCTTTCTCGGAAAAAAGATGCTTTGCTCCGGATATTACTTTAGGTACCTGACAACATGTAGTGCGGCGTCGAGATGTGGCCGTCTGGGTTGTTGCATGAACTGACTGAGATGTTGGGTGGAGTATGTTATGTTGGGTCTGCTAAAGTTGAGGTAAAGCAAGCGGCTGATTAAGCGTCTGTACCTCTCTGGATCTAGTAAGATTTCTCCTTCTTCTGCATTTAGCTTTAGTATGAAAGGCAGGGGAAGGTGGCTTCCTTTTGCATCTTCTGTCTTTATATCTTGTAAAATGTCTTTAATGTATTTTTTTTTACTGATGTAGATCCCTTCTTTTGACCTAGCTATCTCGACTCTAAGGAAATATCTCGCTTGGTCGAGGTCCTTGACCGTGAAGGCTTCATCCATGATGCTTTTGATTTCACAAATCTCTTCGTCATTAGGACCCGTGACAAGTAAGTCATCCACATATACCACAACTGCAATGTAGGTTCCTTTTGTGAATAGACAGTGGTCGACTTCTGACTTGGTGAAGCCAATGGATTGGAGCTTTGAAGTAAGCTCCTTGTTCCACTAGCGACCCGCTTGTTTCAGACCGTACAGGCTCTTAGTTAAACGACAGACTTGTCCTTCACTGGCCTTGAAGTAGCTCTTTGGGGGTTTTAAGTATACCTCATCTTCTATAAACCCATGTAGGTACGCATTATTGATGTCTAACTGATATACTGGCCAGTCGTTTGCGGCTGCCACGGCTAAAAGTAGTCGAACCGTGACCATATTGGCCACTGATGAGAAGCCATCATGATAGTCTATGCCAAACTCTTGGTTATAACCCTCAGCCCCCAGCCTCGCTCCGTATTTATCAACTGATCCATTGTCCCC